AAAAAGAAGGCTTACAGCCATTACAAGAACTAAATTTTTTGTCCCTATCGCTCTGCTGGTCGCAGTTAGCATTCGCTCTTCAACTTCCGTCAGTGACCATGTTTCATCACCACGTCATTGTTTTCAACACATTCTAAAAAAATTAATTTTTTACAATTTTTCGCGGTAAATTACAACAAAAAAGCAAAAAAATTCTGTTGCAGGTTAATGCGGATATTACGGTGCCGGTGGAGTACAGTTTGGGACGACGGCGCTGCAAATTTCACGTGGTGAATAGGCCCGGCTTACGATGCACGTTGTGCGGGATAAAATCAGAAACTTTTGAAACAATTGGCCAATTTCATGAACATCTTTTGAGTTGCCGAAAGACGCCGGATCCAAGAAAGGAAAGAAAGAAACGAAAACTTGAAAAACGAGATGAAAATTTGCAGGATGCAAAGCAATAGTATTTTTTGTACATTCAGGTCAGTGATACATATACCTAGCTTCCGGCAGTTGATACTTTCCTGGCTGAACTGGCATCCCTTGCTTGTTTTTTTTTTTTAAAGGAATACTCTTTTTACCAGTATTTGGGCATTTTCGGATTAATTTTTGTCTGATTTTGGAGCGTTTTAGCACTTCTGAGTTGATTTTGGAGAATTTTTTGCAGTTTTTATTCCTCAGAACTCTTTGTTAGTTCCATCCCCATAAAAATTTTTAAGCGGTTGGCGGCGCGAGTTTTGCATCATGAGCAGCCTTGAAGTTTTTAGCTTTTCCCCGGTTTTAGTTCCCGTTTAAAGTTTTAGCTTCTCATAAAGGCGACTGAAAATTTTTGCCGGTGGCAGAAAGAAAATGAAAATTTTTTACGAATCTCAAAAATTTGACTGAAAAATTTGTGAACGTTGAAAAGGAATGAAAGCTTCACTGAAGCCAGGTAGATTTTAAAGGAGCCAAAAAGCGAATTAAAATTTTGCTAGTACGAAAAAAGCGATTAAAAATTTTGTTGCAGTAAAAAATGCCGAAAATTTCTTTAGAGACAAAAATCGACTTGAAATTTCACTAAAATTCCGCAAAAATGACTTAAGAAATTTTACTGCTTTAACTTGAACGTGAATGTATAAAAATTTAAGGAAATTGTCATATTTTATAAAAAATTTATCATATTTCGTTCTTTATAAGGGTATTAACCATATTTTAAAGCTTTAGAAACACATTATCATAGTTTTTGGACAAATTAAAATTTTTTTTTTGGCAGAGCTGAACCAGCATTAGCAGTTGACATTTCTCAAACTTCCCATGAACCGTCCGTTTGGTCTCTGCTTCTTTTTTATTATTTTTTTTTTCAATTTTACACTTTCTTACCTTGTGAAATTATAACCTAACCCTAAATTATTTGAAG